TGACCAGTCCGGGAGGTGTCCAGTCTGGGGAGGTGACCAGTCTGGGGAGGTGGACCAGTCTGGGAGGTGACCAGTCCGGCAGGTGACCCATCCCGGAGGTGGACCAGTTGGGGAAGTAATCAATCCAGAAGGTCACCAGTCCGGGAGATGACCAGTCCTGGGAGATGACCAGTATGGGAGGTGGACCAGTTGGGAAGGTGATCAATCCAGAAGGTGACCAGTCTGGGAAGATGGACCAGTCCAGGAAGTGAGCAGTCTGGGATGGTGGACCAGTCTGGTGAGGTGACCAGTCTGGGAAGGTGGGCCAGTCCAAAAGGTGACCAGTCTGGGAAGGTGGACCAGTCTGTGAGGTGTCCAGTTTGGGAAGGTGTACCAGTCAGGAAGATGGACCAGTCCGGGAGGTGACCAGTCCGGGTGGTGACCAGTCCGGGTGGTGACCAGTCCGGGTGGTGACCAGTCCGTGAGGTGTCTATTCTGGGGAGGTGACCAGTCTGGGAAGGCGGACCAGTCCGGGAGGTATCCAGTCTGGGAAGGTGGACCAGTCCGGGAGGTGACCATTCCAGGAGGTGACCAGTCCAGCAGGTGACCCGTCCAGGAGGTGGACCAGCAGGGGAGGTGATCAATCCAGAAGGTGACCAGTCCTGGGAGGTGACCAGTCCAGGGAGGTGACCAGTCCGGGGAGGTGACCAGTCCAGGAGGTGGACCAGTCTGGGGAGGTGACCAGTCTGGGAAGGTAGACCAGTCCAGAAGGTGACCAGTCTGGGAAGGTGACCAATCTGGGAAGGTGGACCAGTTGGGGAGGTGATCAATCCAGAAGGTGACCAGTATGGGAAGATGGACCACACATCACCACTCTGTTGGAGCAATCGCTCCCTGCCTTCCACCTCCTTGATCAATTGCACCTGCACTTCTTTCTCTTGCTTATGACCAGCCAGGCTCACCCCCGCAGTGAGAAATCCTGCTGCCTCATGTCTATGTGCCTTCTCTCCACACAGCCCTTGCCTGGATACTCTCCAGTATCCCCAGCAGCACCATGCGCTCCGGAGGATGACCCTCACCCAGTGCACATCAGGATTGTGCTTCATGCATTTTTTTTCATGCTGTTTTCTTTCCTTAGCCTACTCTGTCCTCGATGATGTTTTGCAGTAAGATCATCAAGGAGGTTTGGTGAGAGAAGGGTCTCTAATGAATTTCAGAACTGGGAAGGCCATTTTCTAATTACCCCCAGTGAGTTATGTACAAGTGGTTGAGAATTGCTACTGAAGTATGTGAATACTGGTGTAGCAGGACTATTCAGGAAATGGAACCCACTCTCAAGTTCTGTTTAACTTGCTCAATTACAGTCGTGATTTTTAACAGTTTCCAGCTAAGAAATTCAATTGAGAACATGAATCCAACCAATCGAGAGCATATTAGCATTTATACGTCTTTTCGATGCCGTATTTCTTTTTATGACAGACTTATAACCAATAAAAGCAAAGCTGTATATGCTTTTCGTTTCTAGTCCCATAGTCCTTCAATAAATGGTTTAACTTACTCGGCCTTCATTTGAAACTTTATACCTTCATCCTCATGTAGTCAAACATTATTTCCCAGAAGTGGTAAAAGTACAAATAAATTAGTATGGAATTCATTTTAAATTATGACAAGATAATTTACGGAACCTTTTAATTAAAAACCAAGGGACCAGTGTGTGAGAATTTCTGGCTTCTCATACAGCATTCTGTCCTAACCAGAAAAAACTGCAAGCTGAAAATCAGCAATTGTTTGTAGATTCTCATCAGAGAACAATGTCACAGGGCAAATAGCACCCCCATAATGACAGAGACAGACAGAGGGACACAGACTCATAGCCCACTGAGCAAATGCCCAAGGACAAAAACCTCTGTAGCATTTAATAAGGCCAGAGGCTCAGCATGGACATGGCCAAGGATTAAAACTTCAGGGGGCCCTGTCTTAGAACGCCCCTCACAGTTTGTGAGCTTCACCTCCAGGAACACCTCAAGTTCTCAGAGTGTAGATCAGAGAAAAACGCTCTTGTGTTTCCAGCAGGTGAAAGGAAAGTAGCCATTCTGAAGTATGTCCAGACCATCTGTTCACCTTAAAAAAGGCCGTCAATGACAGGGCCTAACAGACAGACTTGGGGTTCACCAGAGCCTGACATATGTAGGGGAAGGGAGACACCCAATGCCAGCCCCCTATAGCCATCCTAAGGCGGGAGTGGGAAGGGGGAACTGGGAAGGATTTACAAAGATCAGAGCTCAGGGCACAGGCTCTCTGAAAGACTGAGACCCAATCACAGGATAAGGAAAACTTCACCTCCCCACGTGTCTCACCAACCCATCAATAGCACTTTTGCATTTAAAAAAATAAAAAGGCTGGGGGATGTGGGGAGGCCAGGTATGGTGGCTCACACCTGCAATCCCAGCACTTTGGGAGGCCAAGGTGAGAAGAGTGCTTGAGCACAGGGTTTTTTAAAAAGAGACCCAATAACATGCTATCTACCATAAAGATCACTTTAAATATAAAGACGTGGATTAAGAGTGCCGCCAAGGAGCAGGATAGACCACGCTAACACTAACACGCAGAAAGCTGCAGTCACCCATTAACACCAAACAGGGCGCCCCTCAGACAAAGAGTCTCCTCCAGGATACAGAAGGACGTGATGTAATGATAAAGAGGTCAGTTCTCCAAAAAGACGTGACAGTGTTCAACACGCCTAGCCTAAAAACAGTGTCAACTGACACAAAAACTGGCAAAACTACAAAGAAAGACAAATCCACTGTTGCGTTTAGAGAGCTCAGCACCTCTCTGCCAGTCACCGACAGATCCAGCCAGCAGAAAATGAGGAAGGACACAGCTGACCTCAACAGCACTGCCGCGCACCTAGCTATAACGAACACCTATGCCCTACTTCATCCAGCTACGGCAGAACACATGTGCTTCCCAAGCTTACAGGAAGACAGGCCACACTCTGCCCTAACAAATGTAAAAGAATAGAGTCATGCAATGCATGCAGTTTCAATTCCACAATGCAGTTAAACAAGAAATCGGTAACTGAAAGACAGCTGGAAAATTCCAAAATGTGGAGATTAAGCAATGCACTTCTGTTAACACATGGATCTGCAAAGAAGACTCAAGAGAAATTTTAAAATATTTAAACTAAATGAAAATAAAAACACAATATATGTAAATTTGTGGGACGCAGCAGAAGCAGTGCCTGGGAGAAATTCATAGCATTCAAAGCCTGTATTAGAAAAGAATACTCGTCTAAAACCATTTAGATTTCAACTTTAGGAGGCAGTTAAATCCAAAGTAAGCACAGGAATATAAATAATAAAAATCAGAGCAGAAATCAGTAAGATTAAAAGTAGGAAACAGAGGAAAATAATGTAATCAAAAGCCAGTGCTTTGTAAAGATCAATGAAATTGATAAACCTCTAACCCAGCTAAGAAAGAGAGAGAGAGAGAGGGGGAGAGAGACACAATTCACTAATATTAAAAATGAAAGGCCAGGCGCCATGGCTCACGTCT